CCCCAAAACCCCAAAACCCCAAAACCCCAAGATCTTTTAATAATCCTGTAGCAGCAAATATTTAATAAAAATAATGATCATATAAATCTTATATCTTGAATGTCTTAATTTTATTTGATGATTGATGGAATTAATTTAATCACTTTTTGGCAAGAGCAATTATAATAGCACCAAGAATAGCAAATGAAATAGCTAATACTTCATAGACATTGGGAATCCTCCCTTCAAATCCAATCTCGAATAAAAGCATGAATACACTGCTAGTTTAAGATATCGCAATTGCCAACCCTCCTTTTCCGAACTTCAAAGCATAGTTAAGGAACAAGAGTGCACCAAATATAGCAATTCCTGCTGATGCTGAATACCAAACTAAGAAAGTTTCCAGAGGCTCATCAGAATAATACTACCTTTTAAGGAATAAATAGAGAAATATCAACCCTGATGTAAATTGAAAATCCACTGAAAACTACAATGCTGAATATCCATTGTTAACTGCGAACCTTAGCAGTAGTCCAGCCCAAAGTAAGTAAAAGCACTAAAGCATTGAATAAGCTATCGGTATTATTATGGGTAAAATTTCTTGTCCAGATTCAATCAACTACTTGTATTACTCACTGTCTTAGAATTTAAGTTACTTGGAGATGGCGATAAATACTAAGCACAGTACAATAGAGAGCATCCCCATCAAATGCTTGCAGTTTAATCTTTCATTATAGAGGAAGAAAAATGCAACTGCTGTTAAAAATGAAGACAATGAAAGCAAAGATTGCATCACACTGAAACTAGCACCTGCTTCTCTTGAAGTTCTAGAAATAGTAGTAGTATTACTTATTGCTAAAATCGCAAGCACTGCTCTGACAAACATATATCTAAAGTTTTTAAGTGTAAATTCTCCAGTGTCCTTTTCATAGAATATCGAATGCTCCTTGCTAAAAATCTTGCCTCTTAGTTTCCTTGTATCATCACACATTTTAATATAGTAAAGAGCTGAAAGGGTGATTAGGCTGAGAGCCTCGGGATATATAATGGAGCTGTCATTATGCCACTTCATTCCAAACGATATCATATAATTATGAACAGCAAAGCATAATGAGCTAAGCATAGCAAATACGAAATATAGGTTCTCTTTTATGAATTTTTGGTAAGTACTTTGCTTTTATGGATGTGCGATATCATTATTTTTATCATTGTCTGGGAATTAACCTATCAGTAGTTGGTTTGATTAAAGATCTGCTTCTATCTCAAAGCTACTTTTGACAGGTCTCATTAATGAAATATAATTTTAGTTGAGATATATTATCTAATAATAAATTCCCACTCCTATTTGTTTATTTATATACTATGGGGTTTTGGGGTTTTGGGG